TTTTGCAGTTTTTGGACAGGGCTGGGTTTGAACCCACCTCCTCTGGCATAAGGGGCCAGCCACAAAGGCTACTCCTTTGAGCCACAGGCACCACTCTGAAAATAATTTTTTTTGATTAACTTTTTCTCTTAAAAGTTTTCTCCTTCTATAAAAACATAATTCTTCTGTGAGTAGGAAAAGTAGTATCTTTTACAAATAACCAAAATCTTCCACAAATAAATTTAATTTTTTTTTCCAAAGAGAAAAATAAACTTTATTTTTATAGTGCATACTGAAATAATACTGAATTATTTCTAGATATTCACACTAAAAAAGTAGTTACCTAAATAATTAACATGAATAATGAGGATAAAAATTATATTACAAATAAACGAATATTGATATCTTAAGCTATTGTATATTGTTAGTTCTTAGCTAACAGCACATGAGTCATCATTATTTTTTATTTTCTGATGTATCTTTTTAGTATTTCTAAAATTCATTTACAGCATATGTTGTAACATACAGATTATTACAAAAGCAATCAAACTGGTTATTTGGAAACTTCTGTTGTGCAAAAATTTAAAAGGATGCCAGAAACTAGCTGTATTTATTAATGAAAGGTTATTCTGTCTCCATGTGGGACCTTTCTGGTCATCATAGCTCTTTGCAAAGGTTGAGCATGTGGTAACTCACTCAGCATCAGCCACCCCCCACCATGTCCACCTTCTGCTTTGTTCCAGATGCTGCTCCTATGTAGGTCGGCGGGGAAACGGACCTCAGGCCATCTCTATTGGCAAGAACTGCGACAAATTTGGGATTGTTGTTCATGAATTGGGCCATGTGATAGGCTTTTGGCATGAACACACGCGACCAGACCGGGATAACCATGTGACCATCATTAGGGAGAACATCCAGCCAGGTGAGAGGCTGTAGGCACGTTGAGTGTAAGGCTGTGCATGCCCTGGAATTGCACTTATGCAGTTTTTATCACTTTGCTCTCTGGAAAATGTAAACTTATTTTTTGATATTGTAGACTCAACACTTTGCTTGAATAAAAATTGATTTTATGTTTTAAATATATTCCTAGAGACTGAATAATATCATAGAGTTTTTTAGACTTTCTTTTTAAAGATTTAGCTGTTTTATATCTAAATTTCTGTGCAACAATGGGAGTGAGTTATTAAGCCCATGCATTAATATTATTAAATGCTTCTTTTTTACATAAGCTTTCTTCCCTCCCTCCTTCCCTCTCTTCCCCTCCCTCCTCCTCCCCCTTCTTTTCCTACCCATTTCTCCCCCCCCCTTCCTTCCTCTTAGTTCTGCATAGTTTATGATACAGGGTTTTAAAAAGTGTCCAGGGTTTGCCAGAAACATCCTGGCACCATAGGACTCTGTGTTAGACCAGGTAACCTGGAGACTTTCTCTCCACCTTGCCTGCCCTTAAGACGAGTTTGCAGGATGCTTTCAGAACTACCTGCACGCAAGGGGACTCCCAGTGCTGGAGGCCTCTGTCCGGCTTGGCCTTGCTCTGGCGACCAGACACACAACGTTAAAATGTGTGGTGGGTGGGCTTGGCGCCGGTAGCACAAAATTACAGCCCCAGCTACATATACGAGGCTAGCGGGTTCGAACGCGCCTGGGCCTGCTAAACAACAATGACAACTGCAACAAAAAATAGCAGAGTGTTGTGGCTGGCTCCTATAGTCCCAGCTACTTGAGAGGCTGAGGCAAGAGAATAGCTTGAACCCAGGAGTTTGAGGTTGCTGTGAGCTGTGACACCACAACACTCTACCGAGGGTGACAAAGTTAAACTCGTCTCAAAAAATAAAATAATAAAGTAAAATAAAACAAAATAAAATAAAATAATGTGCGTTTGGTGGGAAACCTTGTTGCACTGGTCTACCAGAAGGTTGGGAGCCTGATGGCTCAAATGGGCCTTGCCGTCTACAAAATCAGAGTTGCTGGTAGCAGAAATGAAGCTTGGGAGCTGCGCAGCACCATGTGGCCTGGAGCATTGTGCCCCCGACAGGGTGTCAGCGCCCAGACTTGGCCTCCATACTGTGTCAGCGCCTGTACTTGGCGGCAGGAGCAGGTGTCTGTGGGTGCACGCGCCCAGCACCGCTTTCTCTGTGTCGCTCTCTGCGCCCTCCTGGTGCCGGCTGCCTCTGGGTAGATCCATTCCCTGTGACAGCAATGAAATCACAGTCTCCCTGAGCCATTCAGCTCAGAACCCAAAGAGTAAATGATTCTCTTATCACCAGAGTTGGTAATCAGAAGCTAGATTCTAGACATGCAGGCTCCACTGCTGGATAAACACTTGTTAAGCATGAAATAAAAGACAGTGTTTCCAGTAATTAAATTTCTATTGCTAATTAAAATCTTATTTCTCTGATAGTTGATGTTTGATAGTAGCTTCATTGTAAGGTTTTTATTTGTTTAATGTTTACATTCTTAAAGACCAGTGCATTTCAGTTGAGAGAAAGAAAAGTCTCGTTTGCAGTTTTCTTTTAAGTTAATATATATTTTAAGCATAGGTGAAGGAATATATTTTAAGCAAAGGTGCATCCTTATTTTCTTATTTGTGGCCAGTTTTAAGTTACAGAGATTGAATTTCTTAGAACCTTGAGGTTTCCTTCCTAACCTTGCCTAATCTTTAGGCAAATTTGTAAGAATGCTTTCAGCATAGTTGTTAATCTGTAATTAACATCACTGGTCGTAATATATTTGATTATAATTATCTATCAAGGCAGTATTAGGTTTCGGAGGTTCTGTCATGAAAAATACAAAGCATAGTGTGAGAATCCTGCAGATGTGATTGCAAATGGGTGTGGAATGTGGCAACAGTCAGACACACGGTAGGGTCCAAGCCAAGTGTGGTAACTTGCGGTCTGGTGAGTCACGGGAGGTGTTACAGCGGAACAAAAATTGAGAAGTAAAGTAGAAATGTTCCATGTGGACAGATGAATGACAAGATAACTAGTCTGAAATTGCATCGTGCTCAAGGCCAGGGTAAAGGAAATGGAATCATTTTTGTCTGCCCGTTGTTTGCCTGGTAAATTACAAGTATATTAGTTAGGTATTACCTGGGAGTTGAGATTATACAGAGTTGTGTCTGTAAGTTTGGGAACTTTATTATTTTTGTTAAGTCATAGTTGTGTACATTGATACTTTCATGGGGTACAGTGTGTTGTTTCCATATACAAATACAATTTGAAATACTTTCATCCAATTGGCCAACATAGCCTTCATGCCATTCTGATAGTTGTTGTGTTAAGACATTTATATTCCACATTTAGAAAGATTCACATGTACCCTTCTAGGATAAATCATAGGCGTGATCCCAGCAATCACCCTCCCTCCACCTATCCTCCCCCCTTCCCTCTCCCCTTTCCCCATATTCTTAGGCTAAAATTGGGTTATAGCTTTCCTATGATAGCTAAAGGAACTTTAGATTTTGTTCTCCTGATACTGGGGAATAGCTGAAGGATTTTATTTTATTTTTTTTTAAGAGACAGAGTCTCACTTTATCACCCTCTGTAGAGTACTGAAATGTCACAGCTCACAGTAACCTCCAACTCCTGGGCTTAGGCGATTCTCCTGCCTCAGCCTCCCGAGTAGCTGATACTACAGGCGCCCACCACAATGCCCGGTTATTTTTTTGTTGTGGTTTGGCCGGGGCAGGATTTGAACCTGCCACCCTCGGCATATGGGTCTGGCGCCCTACTCACTAAGCCACAGGCGCCACCCTGTAGCTGAAGGATTTTAAACATAGACAGTTCAGATTATAAAAATTAAGAACTCTCTTAGCTGTAGGAATCATCATTAATGTGGGAGCAGGTTCCTGAAGTCAAGGAAACTTCTGAGAAGCCTAAACCAGTAGTTTGTGAGATGTAACTAAGGTTTCAGTTAGGGTACTACCATTCAGGAATCAGTGAGAAAATAGGAAAATGGTCTTTCAAAAATATTTTAAGAGGAACATCATCTTGTGATGTGAAATCTTAAAAAGATTTATTTTTTGGTAACAAGATGAATGATAGTATCATGATATGAAACATTGGATTCATTGAAGTATTGATAAAATAGCAAGTTTTTGAGAGAGAGAGAGAATGATTTCTTTTCGTATGTACTTGAATTTAAAAGCCTTTGGATGATCCTCATTTAGTAGCTAGAAGAAATTCTGGACTTCAGGATGTATCTGAAGATAAAAATTTGGTGTAGAGTTGACTTTCTAGGTAAAAGCTGGCAGGAGAAGAAAAACAAGGTTGAGGGTAGAAAATGGAGAACAACTATATGTAGAAAGTAGCTCCCAGAAGAGTAAGAAGGTCTTATCTGAGAGGTGAGAGAACAATTCTCATGAAGAGTGATGAAATGATCTGTAGAGTTAATTGTCACAAAAAAACAAAGAACATTTATACTCTCCCGTGTAGAAACTCTAATGCCTGAGCCAACTGTGAAGGTTCGTCTTATACTTTATATCAGTAGGAGGGAAATAAAGAGGAAATAATAATTCTGAAAATCATGCTAACTACCAATTAAATGAGCTTTGGTAAGTACTGTGATTTAGTTGCCTTTATTTGCCAAACATTTTATTATGTGAACAAAAGAATTTATGCAGAATATAACTTTCCAGAATGGTCTTTCTCTTAAAAATAGGATTCTGGTTCAACATAACTAAAACAAGGCAAAAAGTGTCTAAGTAGTATAAAGAAATGCATAATCATAGACAGTGCTAGGCAAATTATGGTTATTAATAATTTTTTTGACTAAACATTCAGTCCAATAAAAAGAAATTTATTGAGTGAGATTTCCTGAGTAATTGGAACTTCCAAAGCAGTGCGATTCCAGTATGAAGTGTTCCTGTTGGCGATTAATCTTCAACGAACTTTCGACTTGCCCTGACTCGGAAACTTAAGATCAAGTGTTATTCAAGAGCAATGTCTAATAAGTATAGGCTTTGGCTTTACTTTTATATGGAAAATAGGTGACTGTGATAGGAACCAAACTGGTACAAAGATTGGATGACTTTAATCTGTGTTAGACTATGCTTACTGTGCTTTCGGGAAGGATGGAGGCTTATCTTTTTTTCTTTTTTAGTTTCTAAGTGTGGTTTCCTTTGGTGCTATGGATCTCTTCTCCTCCACAAAATAAGTCTGATTTTCTTTTATTTAAACTATCTACGGTCACATTCCTTTTAAATTTCAGTAGATTTAGCGGTGCAAGTGGGTTTTGGTTCTGTGGATGAGTTGTATACTGGTGAGTCTTGGCTTTCAGTGTGCCATCATCCAAGAATGATGTCCATTTTAGCCAATCGGTAACCTTCCTCTTTGACCCTCCCTTCACTCTCCCCCGCAGAGTCTTCAGTGTCCACTCTGTCCCTCTCTGTGCCCCTGTGCACAGACAGGTCAGTTCCCACTTTTAAGTGAGAATATACAGCCTTTAGTTTTCCATTCCTGAGTTGCTGGTACTTAGGATAATTGACCACATTGTTTTTAACTAACAAAAAATCTTGTGTCACGTACATACATGTTAAGTGCTCAGTTATGGATGTTGAAATGTATTGCTGAAGTTGCTTAATGCCCTACTTTTCAGAAATTTTCATGGAATATTTTGCTTTGGTTAGAGAATCTGCTGTTGTATTATGTTCTAAATTGAAATCATGTAGGTTAATAAATATAAAATCAGGTCTACATCAGGGTTGAAGAGGCTTCAGACTTTTCCTGAGAATGGGCCCCTCATACAAAGACATACACTTATCAGAGGTTTGTGGAGCACATATATTACTTTAAGGGCTGGCTAGTTAATTTAAATTTACTTATATTGTGAATTTGTTAAAAGATGGACTAAAGCACTTTAATTGGGACTCAGGGTCTGTGACTTCTCATTCTTAATACTCAAATGAGTGCCCTAGATTTCCTTACCATGTGGAGAAGAGACATGATGTTCTGTGGCATCACTTGCTTTCTTTATTGCCTTTTGGAAAACTCCTTATTAATATGATTTTTTTATTTAATTGACATACGGCCGTTGGAATAAATAGTTAAGGTGAGTGGCATAATAGTTCCATTTTGAACTTCAAGCATGAATTTGGAATCTGATTAGCTCACCTTCATTTTCAGAGTTTTTAAGTTGTGTAAGTGATATGAGTTACACCACTGCTGGCTGCCTAAATTGTGAAAACTGAGTCACCGAAACATAAACTCTATCTGAAGAAATTCTTTGGCTCGGGAACTACTGGTACAGACCTACATATCTGAATCTGTGTTCCAGTACAGATACAAATGAGCCGTCGAAAAAATCAATTAAAATGTTCCCACATGTGGGAAGTGAAATAAAAAATCAGTAAGTTCTGAAGCATATTCTTCTCGATCTCAAAATAGAACCTCTTCCTTGAAGACAACCTTGTGTGATCATAAAATGAAAGTGGAGACTGTGCTGCTGTGGTTCGATCTCAGTGATGAAGCCACAGGGCTGAAGCCTGCAGGCCTGCGTTGATGCTAACATTGCTTTCTATCTTTTCACATTGTTGTTTTAGGAATGTAATTTTGTGTCACAAGAGAAAACTAGGAAGCTCATTAGATAAAGATATGAGTTGTTTTGTTTTTTTTAACCATAAAAAGCAGTAAGATTTTAAAGAAATAAGTATCATGAGGAGGTAAAAGAATTACGCTGCTGGTGGCCCACCTTTTGCCTAAATTAATACCTTGTTCTGTTCCAGTCTTGCTTTTCCAAGCTGGCAGCAGAGTGGAGACTGCTCTTTGCATGAGCCTGGGTGTTGTGTGTAACACAGCCAGCAAAAAGACTGGCCATTCGGTAAAGAATAGACACAGGCCGAGGAGGGGCACTGCTGTTCTTTCTTTCTGCCAGTTGAAAGGCTTCTGAGACTTTGTTTATCCCTCGTTCTTAGGTCAAGAGTACAATTTTCTGAAGATGGAGCCTGGAGAAGTAAACTCACTTGGTGAAAGATACGATTTTGACAGTATCATGCACTATGCCAGGAACACCTTCTCAAGGTTGGAGTCTCAGGTTATACTTTTTGACTTTTAATTCCTTTCCTCCACATGGCTCCTCACAAAGCTGTGCTTGAGGTTAGAACTAGAACCCCTTCCAAACCCTGCTGCCTCGCGGCAGAAATAAGGTAGAACAGTTGATTATCATCTGTAGCCAGTTACAGGCATTTAGAAGGTATTTTAAAAACATGTTTTTATATTTTCTACCAACTACCTAAATTTAAAGTAATAATTAAGATGGTATAGATCACTTAAACTGTTTTATACTCCTAAACCTTAAAGAGCCCAATTAAGATGATTACCAAGCCGAAACAGCATGTTAACTTGGCAAAGCATTATTTATTGAAATTAGGCATTCATCAGTTCAATAGGTCACTCTGGAGTGTAGTTGGAATGCCGCACTCTGTGTGCCTTGTGTTTTATATCTTGTGTTTTCTCTCACTCAAGTACCACTTAGGATGAAAAATTGATATTGCTAAATGAATTGTCAAAGAACAGCTCAGGAAAATGTTTTACATCATATAACTTAATAACTTAGAATTGTATTTCACCATTTATTAACTTTAAAATTATTTCATTAATGACAATGCTGTTTTCAAAGAGTGCAATCAACTTTGGGCTCAAAGACGATGCCATTGAGCAAATATCCCCCAGGCAAGGAATTTGTGACTGTTAAATAGCTGAACTCACCCCTTTTCCCATTTAACTCTTTTTAAACTCATCTGTTCATTTCAACTCATTTTGTTCCCACTTAACATTCACTTTACGGTTCATTAATATCTGTTTGGACAGGAAGAAACTAAGCTTGTTCTCCCTTTTTATAAAGCATTCTTGGTAAAAAGTAGAGGTGGACATGTCCACAAATCGTTAATACTGGGACACATTTTAAAATTCCCCTTTTTCCAAGACCGAACTTCAAAATTAAAAATCCTCAATGTTAAGTGATTTAAAAAATTATTATCTTCTACAGTATATTTTAATATATGTGCTCAAATATAATGGCTATCTTAATGCTTATTCCTGGAATTTGAATTTAAGTTTCAGTAGATATACACCCATAAATTTGGTCTGAAATTAATCATAATAGTTATGAAATTTGATTTTGCCATCAGTGCATGGAATTGGGTTTTCCACAGGAACATGCCACACATGGGGGATCTGGGCTCCTTTTCTGCCAGGGCCCCCTGAATTATGCCATTTAGAGATAACCAGAGTTTTGATTCTTTGGAACAAAGAAGGTCCTAGAAAGTAGAGAAAAATAATGTATTCTTTCTCTTCTGCATAGATGACAAATCTTCACCAAAGTTGTTAATATCTATTTCTCTTTATTCTATACTTTATTAAATTGCTTATGTCTCCATAAGCCAGATTGGAGCCCACCCCCAACACCTGCCTTTGTCATGTACCAATTACTTTCTTACTGTTTCAAAACTATGCTATTCATTCTCCATAACTAAATTTACATTTCTATGGTACAAGTTGCTCTAGTTTAGATTTTTAAAAATTTTTCTGAATCTATAAAGAAGGTAGTTTTTCAGGAAATGAAACATTAGGCACAGTTCTCCTCCCCTGTCCCAAAGTATTTGAAGTTTCTTTCTTTTAATTGTGGAAAAAACATACAAAATAAATTTGCCATCTTAATTATTTTTAAGCATGTGGTTCAGTAGTGTTAAATATATCGACATTATTGTGAAACAGATCTCTAGAGCTTTTTCATCTTCAGCAGAACTGAAATTCTATATCCATTAAATAACAACTTCCCCCTCCCCTGTCCCTTCCCCTCCTGGTGATCACCATTCTACTTTATTTCCATGGATCTGGGATGCTTCACATAATTTGAATCATGAAGTGTTTGTTCCTTGGTGACTGGCTTATTTTATTTAGCACTTACTCTATCGTGTATTTGTATATATGTATTAGCATTTCTTTATCCCTACATCTTCCTGTGGACAGCGGGTTGCCCCTGTCTTCTGGCTTTTTGAATAATGTTGCTATAAACAGGGCTGTGCAAATACCTCTCAGAAACCCTGCTTTCCATTTTTTTGGACATCTAGACCCAGAAGTGGGATTGCTGGATCATATGGTAGTTCAATTTTTAATTTTGCAAAGAACCTCCATACCACACCATTTTAGAACTCCATCAGGAATGTGTAAGAGTTCCAGTTTCTCTGTGTCCTCACTAATGCTTGTTATTTTCTATTGTTTTGGTAGTAATCATGCTTCTGAGAGTGAGAGATACCACTCTCATTGTTGTTTTGATTTGCATTTCTCTTGTGATTAATGATAATCTTTTCATATGCTTAGTGGTCATTTCTATTTCATCTTTGGAGAAACGCTTAATAAAGTCCTTTGCCCACCTTTTAATCAAGTTATTTTTTCTTTTGTTCTGGAATTATAGAAGTTCTTTATGTATTTTTCCTATTAACCACTTATCTGATACATGATTTGCAAATATTTCTCCCATTCCATAGATTGTCTTTTCACTCTGTGGATTTTATCTTTTGATGCACAGATATTTTTTATGTTTAAAGTTGTTTTTTTTGCTTGTTTGTTTGTTTTGGTTTTATTGCCTGCAATTTTGGTGTCATATCCAAAAATTTATGGTCTCATTTCAATGCCATGAAGTTTTTCCTTTATGTTTTATTCTAGGAGTTTTAATGTTTTGGGTTGTCTTATGTTTAGATATTTAATCCATTTTGAGTTTTTTTTGATGTTGTAAGAAAAAGGTTCAACTTTATTCTTTTGCATGTGGACATCCAGTTTTCCCAGCATCATTTGTTGAAAAGACCATCTTTTCCTCATTGAGGGGGTCTTTGCACCTTTGTCAAAAATAATTTGACCAGATCTTGATAGTTTTTCTGTTTCATTTTACTGGTCTATGTATAGTTTTTCTGTTTTATTTTACTGGTCTGTCTTTATGGCAGTACTATACTGTTTTTATTACTATAGCTCTGTATTATGTTTTGAAACCAGTTCTCTGAAGTTGGAGTATTGAATGAAATAATCTTTAAAATTGTTTTGGCTATATGTTATCTTTTGAGAAGTCATATAATCATTAGGATAAAATTTTCTTTTTTTCTTTTTTTTTTTTTTTTGAGACAGAGCCTCAAGCTGTCCCCCTGGGTAGAGTGCTATGGCATTACAGCTCACAGCAACCTCCAACTCCTGGGCTCAAGCGAGTCTCCTGCCTCTGCCTCCCAAGTAGCTGGGACCACAGGCGCCCGCCACAACGCCCGGCTATTTTTTGGTTGCAGCCGTCATTGTTGTTTGGCAGGTCCGGGCTGGGGATTCGAACCTGCCACCTTAGGTGTACGTGGCTGGCGCCTTAGCCGGTTGAGCTATAGGCGCTGAGCCAGGATAAAATTTTCTATTCTGCAAAAACTGCTGCTGGTATTTGATTGGGATTACATTGAATCTGTAGATCACTTTGGGTAAGGTTAACATCTTAACAATATTGAGTCTCTCAATCCGTGAACAAGGAATCTTTTCTTTTATGTGTAATTTTTTTCAGGAATTGTTTTTTGTTTTCCATTTACAAGTTTTCACCTGCTTTATTTAATGTATTTTATTATTTCTGATGCTATTGTAAGTTGCATCAATTTCTTTTTTAAACTGTTTGTTGTAAATGCATAGAAATACAACCGAATTTTTCATATTGGTTTTATATTGTACAACTTTGCTGTATTCATTTACTCGTTGTAACAGAAGTTCTACCCCCCTCCCCCCATGTGTGGCATCTTCAGGGTTTCTGTGTATAAGATCAAGTCACCTGTGAACAGCGACAATTTTACTTTTTCCTTTCTAATTTGAATGTCATTTATTTGTTTTTCTTGCCTACTTGCTCTGTCTAGGTCTTCCAATACTGTCATAAATAGTAGTGGCCAGAGAGGATATCTGCACTGTTATCTCAATCTTAAAAGAAAATATTTTAGTTTTCACCCATGAATAGGGTGTTAGGTATGGGATTTTCATATACAGTCTGTAGTATGTTGACATAGTTTCCTTTTATTCTTGGTTTGTGGAGTGTTGAAACTGTCAAATGTTTTATCTTTATCATATGGTTTTTGTCTTTCATTCTGTTAATGTAAATCTGGAGTATTTTAGTTTTTTTAATATTCTGAAGTCACAAACTTTATCAAAGTTTCAGTTGTTTTCATGAATGTAGGCCATCAATACATTAGGAGGTCTGGAAAAATAGGGCTGGATTTATGGGGCCTTTATTGTCATGAATATTTTGTAAAGTAGAGTGGATGCCTTCAAATTGAGGCATTAAAAAAATGAACTGTTGGGTGGCTCTTGTGGCTCAAGGGAGTAGGGCTACGGCCCCATATACCAGAGGTGGTGGGTTCAAAATCAGTCCCAGCCAAAAAAAAAAAAAGCTGTGAAATTTTACAATTTCTTTTAAAAAACAGTTAATTTGCATCTTAATGTCAAAACAAATGAAGGATAGAGATTAGTAAGTGAACCTTAGTAAGATGTGTCGCTGTCCTTTGGACAGTGCCTCACTGAGGAGGTTCCCTAAAAACCTGCATTGCTCACTGCCAGGAGGATATGGGAGAAGAGAATTGTTAACCTCCTGGCCACAAAGAGAGAAGAAAAGAACGAGTGACTGACTCCTTTGGGTGGAAGAGTTTACCTTAGTAGACAGAATGAAAGAAAATTCACTATAATGTTGTCTGAAATTGAACATTTCCACTCCAAAACATCATTGGCCTTTTTAAGTTGAATCTCTTTTGAAAGCTATTAAAAAAAAAAAACCTTCTCGTATATCACAAGTTTGTTTTTAGAAAGAGAAATAGAATACAGTGAGTACTTTGTTAGTACTGAAGTAGTGCAGAGATGCAATAATAAATTTGATTTACCTCCTTAATGTACCTGTGGATTCATGCATCACTGTTGAGGAACGGCTTTTCTCAGTACGACCTCACAACTCCATTTCCTCTTGTAATTACCTTCTCCTGACTGGAGCTGCCTCTTCTTAAATATGTGCAAATTGTCTTTACTTCTCTGCTCTTATCTCAGGCAGCATACATTTGGAGTTCTGTAGAGGCTTATATGTGGTTTTTTTTTATTGTACATATACATATGTTTATTTGGTTTCCACTTTTTGCCTTCACAAAATTAAAAAGGCTTAAAATTTAATAACAATAACAATGTTTAAAATAAGGACTAGAAACAAAAACCTGGTAAGAATGAATGAAGATACTTTCAGAAAATAAATCAGATGATTGCTGCAATGATAATAATAATAATGCAAAAAAAGTAACATTCACATTGTCAAATAAGCGTGTGTCTATTATAGAATGCTTTGACTTTGAGGTTCAGTATGGAGTCATCAGTTAACTTCTTCTTAATTTTTTCCCCCAAAGTCTCAAAAAATAGACAACTAATATTTATAAATTAAAATAAAAGATAATTTCAAAAACAGATCATGCTAAATTTTATTGATAATAGAAAAAGAAGAAATACTTCAAAATCATTTTACTTCATCTGAATACACCTGATATTAAAATTCAAAAAAATATATTATTATAAAGAGAAATTACAAATGTATTTCACTTATAAATGAGGATGCATTCCCTTATAAATGAGGGAAAGGAAAAGAAAAGAAAATAGTGACTAATTCACACATAAATTGGATTTAATTTTGACCAAAGTACATTACTTAAACATTAATTTTTAAATCAACTTGTTAATATGTTGTTTAGGATATTGCATCCTCATTTATAAGTGGAATACATTTGTAATTTCCCTTTATAATAATATATTTTTTCCAATTTTAGTGTCAGGTGTATATTTGGTTTTATAGAGTTCCAGTCTCCATTTTTGGAGTTGGTTGTTTCTCAAGATTACCATTTTTTCCCTTACCAAGAATCTAGGGAGGCCGGGCATGGTGGCTTAGGCCTGTAATCCCAGCACTCTGGGAGGCTGAGGTGGGAAGATCACTTGAGCTCTGGAGTTCCAGACCAGCCTGAGCCAGAGTGATACCCTGTCTCTACTAAAAATAGAAAAATCAGCTGGGCAGGTGGCAGTCCCTGTAGTCTCAGCTACTGAGGAGGCTGAGGCAGGAGGATCGCTTGAGCCCAGGAGTTTGAGGTTTCTGTGAGCTATGACACCAGGCACTGTATACAAGGCGACAGAGTGAGACCCTGTCTCAGAAAAAAAGAAAGAAATGAAAAGAAGCTAGGGAAATTAAATTACTTTAATTAAATTAAATTAAATTAAATTACTAACTCACCAAGTTACTCATCTGTTTGCCCCTTTCCTGCAGATTAACGTTTGTCCTCTGGGTAAGGGTTAGTCTCTGGCTGGTGTTCACACACTGTGGGGTTCCCTCATCTCTGAGCTGTTCCCATCTCTTGTTCTTTCTGTCTGCTCACTCTCTATGTCCAGGGAGCCCTGTGTCTCTGACCTCACCTCCTTCATGTTCAACTTGAATGTTAACTTCTAAGTGTGTTTTTCTTTGATCACTTTGTTTACAAAACTGCCCATTGCTGCACAAACACCATCCATCTCCTCACCTTTATTTTTCTTTGTAGTATCTCTCAAATCTGGTTCATCAGTGTTTAGTGTCTTTTCTCCCCACATTGGAATGTTAGAGTCATAGGGGAGGGCTTTCTGTTTGTTTTGTTCATTACCATAATTCCAGACCCAGAAGAGCACTTAACAAATGTTTCCTAATGGGAAGAATGAGTAGAGGTGAAAGGAGTATTATTTTAATCTGCAGGAAAAGCAATATTCTTTTTTATAATTTTTGGAAAGGAATGTTCCATCATTCATCTTAATTTAAAAGATACTTTATAATTTTCTTTTTTTAATTTAAATTTTTTATAGAAAGCTTCTTATTTTCCATTTCTTGAAGATCTGTATATATATATTCCATACTTCTTTGGAAAGTCTTTCAGTGCATTTAACTTTTAAGCTCCGTACTTCCTCCAGAGCTATCAATATCTGATATATTTTCCTGAATTAGAGTGTATCTTTACTATTTACACAATATAGTGCACTATATTCAGAATTTTAGCACATGCATATTAGGAAATATTACCAACTCTTCTACCACAGCCTTGAATCCAAAATAACTCAGTATCTATAGCTTAGAACTGTTAGGACATTAAGTTTTTTGTTTGTTTATTTTAACATGAAAAATTAAAAAATTTATGTATATATATTCAGTAAAACATTTTTGCTTTAAAACTGTCTAAATTCTGGCATTCTTTTTTATTGTTCTTCTGGTAATGTATAATGTAATACTTGGACTTCTAAGAATACTTAGGTTAAATTAGTGATTTAAGTCAAAAAATTGACTTATGAATATTTCATTTGACTCTTACATAAATTTTAGTAACCTCAAACTTATTTATTATAGATTACTATTAATGAAATAGACCTTTATGAGAAATAATTTACAATCTGTTAATCTAAGGGACTTTTAGTTCTGCTTGGTAGACCAAGACAAAAATCCTGGTAGACTTTGTGGGAGACTATAAGGTGTTTTATATTTTTAAAAACATATAATTTACATTTCTAAGAAAATTTACTTACATTTCTAATGCTCACACATTTGACATGTGCATTTTTTTCCCTCTTATTTGATTATAGTGCCTTGAAAGCCTGACACATTGCTGGAAGCTCACACTGGTCTGTTTTCCCTTTAATTGACTTGAGTCTGGAAAAAAAAAAAATCATAAGTTTATAAGGATATGTGAGTTTTAATTTAGTGACTTAGGTGTGGTTTGCTTCTGGTTTTTTTCAGGGGTATGTTTCTGGATACCATTCTCCCCTCCCGCGATGATAATGGCATACGTCCAGCAATTGGTCAGCGGACCCGTTTAAGCAAAGGAGATATTGCACAGGCAAGAAAGCTGTATAGATGTCCAGGTATTACACCACGCAGACACAGCAGCTCAGCCGCACTCGGTTGCACTCTTCCAGACGAATAAGCACCATTTATTCCACTGCTCACTTGTCTGCTTCCCTGTTGGCAAGTGACATGTACAATTCAAAGTCTGTAATTCTCAGGTGAGGTAGGAGAAAACTCTAGAGCACCCTGTGCTATAAATACAAGCAAGTTGCTCGGAATCAGATTTGAAGTGCAAGGATAGTATGCTTTATTTCTTTTAATTTAAGGAGTAAAATAGTGAAATACAGTAATTGATTGTATGATTTCATAGTCAAATGCTGAGTTTTTTTTTTACCAAAATAAAAAGAATATTCTTCCTTTATTCAAAATTTGATCCTAAATGATCTTTTCTTGAAAGAACTATCATTAACCATATGTAAGTTAAAATTTTATCAGTAGGAATTTATAACTGTGTTGCAAAAATGTGTTCCGACCATAGTGCATGTGAGTTATTGTGTGTTTTGCTATGAAAGAAAGTTGTGAAGAAAAGGTTAATGAAAGGACTTAAGAAGAATGTTCCAAGGGAACACGATGCCTTAATGATATAAGAAAGAAAAGATTCTCTGTTCTAAATTGGAAATCTTGCAGAGTCTGTGCGTCCCCTGTTTACTTACAATCTCTGAAATAGCCTACGTCCAAGAAACATGTTAATTTTGTTTAACATAGTTTTTCCTTAATTAGTTGTCCAAAGAAACCTCCTTTTACCTAATACTTGTAGAATTCACTTTTAAAGATACTATTGCAGATACTTACGAATATAGATAGTAAAATAACTACAAAATGCAGCTACTATTCTAATATTTTTTGCAGAAAATCAGGGATATGATAGCTACATTAATCATTGAAGTTTTACACAAACAATTGTCTGAAGCTTATTTATGTATCAAATTGCTGGAAACTTCTTATATTAATTAAGTTTATTAGGACTTCTAGTGTCAATCCAGGAAAGATTTCCTGTAGTGTACAGGAGAGGACTAGTTAATTCCCTCACAAAAAGTTAATGTGTGCTCATCGGCACATTGTTTAACAAAGATTCAAGTATTAGCAAAATAAAACCAACAAACAAAAAACCCCAAGGAACTGAGCTGGCTAAATAATCACAGGAAATAGCCAGGAAGTTCATAATTCAGTGTGGGTGACGGCATTTAATTTTTTTTATTCAACACATTGAAATTTGCTCAAATTTCTTTTGTTTGTTTTACTTTTTGGTTTTTAGTTATTATGGGTACATAATAGTTGTGTATCTTTATAATGTACATGTGAAGTTTGATACAGGCACATATATTAATCAAGTCAGGGCAATTGGAATATTCATCATCTCAGGAATTCATCATTTCCTTGTGTTAGGACCATTCCAGGTCCACTGTTTTTGTTATTTTAAAGTTCACCCTAACTTATTTTTTATTATAGTCACTTTGTTGTGCTATCAAATAGTGTTCATTGTAACTAGTTAACTATATTTTTGCATCCATTAACTATCCTCGTTTTGAATTTTGGTCAAACTTCTGCCAAGAGAAGGAGTTTTCTCTCCTTTTGTATCAGATTTGCTAAGGAAAATTCTAACATATTATTTTTTTCCAATTATATTGTAATAGTTATTTTTCTTAGGAGCAATTGAGATTTTTTAAATTTAAGGCTACATATAAGACATTTTACATTTTCATGATTCAATATTGAAGTAAGATTTCAAATGTTTTCTTTTGTACATAAACATATCTATATCTAGCCGTCTGCCTATCTCTCTAATTTTTTGATATATCTAAAGATATTTCTGTTTAATATTCATTGATTTATTTACTTCATGGATCTTAAGTTGCATTCATAGTTACCTAAAGTATTTTAAAAATTGTGTGCATATAAAATAATACATATGTTTGATATTTTTTTTGTTTAAAATTCAATTGTGTGCATATAAAATAATACATATGTTTGATTTTTTTTGTTTAAAATTCAAATTTCCATAGGTAAAAGAATGACATCACTATGACAAAGGACATGGATGATCCTTGACTAATATTTTAGCAACACTGGACATACTATGCTTTTTAACTTTTAAAGGGGAAAGAAAGATTATGTGATTAATAACAACTAAATGAGCGCACACCTTGTACGTGAAGCCATTTTGATCATTTCTCTATATGTATATATATGTAAATTGCATTCACAAAGTACACTGAAGATGCATTTGCACACTGAATTATAGGAAAGTCAGTAAGAATGAAAACATTGCTTAAAATACTGTATTTAAATTTTCAACCTAGTAACTTGCATACGTCTATTACTAATAGGAAGAAAATTGGAAGTGTAGTTTCTATTACTTGAGATTTTAATTGTGTACAACACGCAGTGGGCTATTTCTTACTTGAAATATAGAAATAATTCACTATATTCTTACTTGAAATATAGAAATAATTCACTATCCACTATTGTTTTTAATACTGTAAAGCCACATTTGTGAAAGCAATATGACCTGTGAGAAAGGTGTTTTTTATTTCATAAAAAGCAATTCACTGTATTTCAGCTTATAAAATACATGGAGTGAGGGAGACGTAAGTATATATAGAATATACGTATGTGGTTAGTAAAGGCATGTTAATTCTTGGTTTCTTTGAGAATGACTATCTTTTCTATCTTGGATTGTTTTTAATGCTAAGTAACCAACTCCTTCTCTTTAGCATCTTATGTTTTTCTCTCTTTCTGTGTGTTTCTTGCTCTGTACGTCTCAGCCACTGTCTCTCTTTCTCTCTCTCCCTCTCTACCCACCTCTTTTTTGAAGTAGTAGTTAACTTTGAGCCCAGGACATGGCTGCCTACTTAAGGCTCTTCCATTTCATAAAATAGGGAGCATTGACTCGGCACCTGTAGCACAGTGATTATGGCACTGGCCACATGTACGGAGGCTGGTGGGTTCAAACCCAGCCCAGGCCAGTTAAACAACAATGACAACTGCAACAAAAAAACAGATGGGCGATGTGGTAGGCACTTGTGGTCCTGGCTACTTGGGAGTCTGAGGCAAGAAAATTGCCTAAGCCCCAAGAGTTTGAGGTAGCTGTGAGCTGTGACAATACAGCACCCTACAGGGTGTGACATGGTGAGACTCTGTCTCAAAAAAAAAAGACATGGGGGCACTGATAATCCATCTGGATAAGGACAGTGATAAGTCCTTACTGTAGGGTAAGTGATGTGAAGTCACATGGTGCAGTAGGTTCACCAGTGACTCCATCCATGGAGTGACGTCAGAGGCTCATAACTCTGCAAGGAAGGCCAAGTGGGGTGCTTATCTGAGAATCACCCAGGAAGAGAGGAAAGATTTACAAAGTGAGGTCTGGTTTGTCTGGGCTCTACTACAGAGAAGAGGGGGTTATAAAAGCACATGTGACTTTGGAGTGTTTCTTATTCTTTTGTCATAAATTGGCCAGGTTTTGGCTAGTTTTTGGTTTACACTGAAAACTCTATCGGATGTACTTATTATAGACCTGTTTTTTAGACTTTAATCTTTTTTTTTTTTTTTTTACAGTTTTTGGCCAGGGCTGGATTTGAACCCACCACCTCCAGCATATGGGGCCAGTGCCCTACTCCTTTGAGCCACAGGCACCACCCTAGACTTTAATCTTGAAAGAATACTTGCCTGAGTTAGGTAGTGAGATATAGTTAGATATACAGGCTTGGGGCTTTTATGGTCTGTGATGAGTCTTGTGGCTTTTATGTCAAAGAGGGAAGTTTCTAATAGCCAATCTGCAAATACTGTTGCTTTTTCTAATACAGAAATGACTTTTTAATGTATCAGAAGACAGGATTAAAAATACCCCTTTAAAATTTCCTTACAATAATATTAATATGATAAATACCTTGTCATTCATTATTACACCTGTATCCACCTCCTCCTATATGCCAAAATATACATTAGGTTGGTATTTGAAACCTCAATTACTTATTGTACAGTCAATGCATACTCATGTAAAAGCTCAATACAGAAATAAAATTAGATTTGGAAGGTGATGGTATGAGAATAGGATTCTTTTACTTTAGAATTGTTTTTGTTTACATTGCTCTTAGTTTTGGGGACAGGTTAAGAAAAGTCTCCTTAAATGTCATCATGTTATGTTAAGAGAGAATATGACCTTTCCAGCGCTGGCCCTGTCCTGATGATAATAAGGCACACTTATCCACTTCCAGAGCACAGGGCCTCTCAGGGTGTGGGGAGGAGGGCAGGGCTGCTCAGCATGAGGGCTGAATAGGGGTTTCTGAGATGTTGCTGCCAGAAGGGCCGTCCTATGCCCTTCTGATCGCCTTCCAGCCTCTCAAACTTACAGTCTCTTAAAGGACCTGCTAAGGACACCTTGTCATTAGAACTGTCTCACATACAGTCACGACAAGACGTCCACACAATGTGGAGGAGAGTCATTGTCACAATTCTTCATCTTCCTATCATTCCAGTAATCAGTAGCTTTTTGGTGAAGATCATCTCTAGAGGATGTGAGTCGTCCGTATCCTCCTCTCTTTATAAATGATGGATTTGTTCTCTCATTCTCTTTTCTAAGGCCTCTGTTTTCTTGTGATTCCCATTTTCTGAAAATATTCTCCTTTACTTTGCTCTCATCTTAGTATTCCTTCCCTTTGTATTACTAAGAATTAGAAATAGAACCCTTCTTCTGTTTTTATCTGTATTTTCTCTTAGTTTAGTTTTTCTGAAATCCCATGAACTTTTCACTTATAGTAACTTAATACTTAGACTGGACTGTGAGCCCTAATATTCTCTAAGCAAGTCTTTCTTATGTCCAGTAACATAGTAAAATGAGGAAACATATGAAATAAATGTCTATATAAAAATACAGGGTCTGTAGAGGATTAGAATCTCTGTGGTACGTGTGTACTCGCACAGGAACACACCTCTGTGTTCACATGCACAGCAGCGCTTCTACTGTTGCCAAACAACATGGAATGCACCGTCTGGGGCCGTGCGTCTATGCAGAGGCCGC